GAAACTGGAGGCACCGTTACAGGTCAGAGATCTCGAGTTTGGTATACAGGGTGTCCCAATAAAAAAGGTCACGCTGGCATTTCGCCATTTCAAATCCGTTCGACTTGAAATTTTAAACAGAGCTGCGGAAGGCAATTTAAAATGTTCACAGAAACTTTCAGCCCGATCGGTACGGTAGTTTTCGAGTTATAACAAAAATACTGTTTTTTCAACACTTTTGCTTCATTTTTTCGGCTATCTTTTTGGACTTTGCATCAATTACCATCAATTGCGGCCCTAAATCCCCCATTCTTCTTAACATCGGGGATGATAACACCTTGTTAAAATTACTTAAACAACCTATTTCCAAAACGAATTTTACAAAATAAAAAATTTTCTGGGGTAAAAAAGGGACGGCGCTTCATTTTTGCCATACATTCCAAGGCTCAATTCCGGCGAAATCCAGGTTAAAAACGTAAAATAAAGTTTATTTTTGCTATAACTCGAAAACTACTGTTCCGATCGGGCTGAAAGTTTCTGTGAATATTTTAAATTGCCTTCCGCAGCCCTGTTCAAAATTTCAAGTCGATCGGATTTGAAATGACAAAATGCCAGCGTGACCTTTTTTTTATTGGGACACCCTGTACTTTCTTGCAGCTGGCACTGCGACGGCTGGAACTGAGACTGGAGGCACAGAAACTGGAGAACTGCCACGGGTTTAAAATCTCTTGCATTTTAAATTCATTTTTCAGCTGGAACGCCAACGGGCGGAACTGAAACCGGAGGGACGGAGACGGGCGGCACTGCTACAGGTTAGGAATTGCCATGAAATTATAAATTGCTCTAGCTGGCACTGCAACGGGTGGAACCGAAACTGGTGCAATGGAAACGGCGACTGCTACAGGTAGGAACGACAATTCTGTAGCAGTTTATTTTCCCTTTCAGCTGGCACCGCTACTGGCGGGACAGAAACTGGTGGTACCGCGACGGGAGGGACCGAAACCGGAGCCACGGCTACAGGTTTGAATTTTTCGGATCTGAGATGACGTGTACGTTCTACAGCTGCCTCAGCGACGGGAGGCACGGCAACTGGTGGTACCGAGACTGGAGGCACGGAGACCGGAGGCACTGTCACAGGTACGAGCTGTTTCGATGCCTAGTTAGCACTTCCAGCCGGAACAGCTACCGGCGCAACCGAGACTGGCGGCACAGCGACAGCCGGAACAGCTACAGGTTTGGGCGCTTTCAAAAATATTGTTAATTGTCTGTTTAGCCGGCACAGAGACTGGAGGCACCGTCACGGGTTTGCACCTTTCTCAATTTTTCTCAAAGGCTGGGTTTTTTTAGCAGGCACGGCCACTGGAGGCACAGAAACAGGAGGCACGGCGACTGGCGGAACAGAAACGGCTGCGACAGCTACTGGTTTGTACCCGCTAGTCTGATTTTATGATTTCCAACAGCGGGCACAGCCACGGGAGGAACGGAGACAGGTGGTACCGAGACGGGCGGCACGGCAACAGCAGGCACCAACACCGCTGGCACCGAGACTGGAGGCACTGTCACAGGTCCAGAATTTAGCATTTAGCTTACTGCGAAACAATCCCCGATTCTGAAGCCGGAATCTAAAATCACATTTTAGCTGGCACCGCAACAGGTGGAACAGAAACAGGTGGCACCGAGACTGGCGGAACAGCTACAGGTTTGCCCTCTTGATGACTGCTTAACTTTGACATAGCTGCCACGGCTACTGGCGGTACTGAGACCGGAGGAACAGAAACTGGAGGAACGGTCACAGGTCAGTGATTCATATCCCACTCAAGTTTCCTTTTTTTCAGCTGGCACTGCAACTGGTGGCACCGAAACTGGTGGCACGGTCACAGGTTTGGCTTTTTCACAGTCAGTTTTTTTTTATTTTGATCTTTTCAGCTGGTACTGCCACAAGCGGAATTGCAACCGGCGGCACAGAGACCGGCGGAACTGCTACGCGTATGTTCTTTGCTATACGGCTACAAGCAGAACGTTTCTATAGCTGGCACTGCAACTGGTGGACCTAACACCGCAGGCACTGAGACTGGAGGCACCGATACGGTCGGGACCGTCACCGCAGGCACCGCAACTGGCGCTACTGGTATTCAAAATTTTCGTAGACACTGAATTTGCACTTTGTAGCCGGAACTGAAACCGGAGCCACGGTCACTGGCACAGTTGGCACGGAGACTGGGGGTACGGCTACTGGTGGAAGTGTTACAGGTATTGTGGAAAGACTGACCGCTACGGTCGAGTCTTACATCTCTTGCATCGGGATACCTGGGACGTCCACATCACATTTTCAGGTGGCACAGAAACTGGTGGAACAGCCACCGGTGCGACACCCACTGGCACTGCTGGCACTGAGACCGGAGGAACCGAGACCGGAGGCACAGCTACCGGTGCGTCCACACCTGACGGAAATTAGATTTTGATGTTTGTAGGCGGAACCGAAACCGGTGGCACGGCAACCGGAGCAACACCCACTGGCACGGCTGGTCCGGAAACTGGCGGCACTGGCACAGCGGCCACGGAGACGGGGGCTACTGGTATCTCCAGTCCTAGACGGCTAACGCCTACTTCATTTTCTAGCCGGAACCGAGACTGGTGCGACGGCTACTGCGACAGCTGGCGGCGAGACTGGAGGAACCGAAACTGGCGCTACTGGTATTAAGCACACTTAGACGCAAAGAAGCCCTATTTCGTAGGCGGCACCGAGACCGGAGGCACAGCTACCGGAGCAACACCCACTGGCACGGCTGGTACTGAAGGTACGGCCGGCACCGAGACTGAAGGCACCGCTACTGGTGGAGATGCGACAGGTAGCAAGAGCAAAACAATCAAATTTTGTTGGTTCACGGAAGTGTAATTTTTGGGAATCCGTCAAAATCTCGAAAATCGGAACCTCGCACATCAGAATCTCGAATTTTCAATTTAAATAAGCGCAGAATTCTGCACAAGTTAGGCGTAGTCCATAACACCAAAATTGGTCCAGGTTTTGTTGTCACCAAGAAACTCTTCCTGTTAGGTGCAACTGGTGGCACCGAAACCGCTACCGGAGCGAGTGCAACTGCGACTGCTACTGGCGGAAGCAACACCGGAGGAACGGAGACTGGAGCGACAGCAACGGCTACTGGTTGGGAATTTATTATTATATCTAAAAGATTTTAGGTGGAACTGAAGAGACTGGAGCAACGGGAGCAACAGAACCCACCGAAGCTACCGGCGGCACTGAGACTGGTAAATTTTACGTTAATGTTAATTAATCAATCCTAGGGGGCACCGAGACTGGTGAAACGGCTACTGGAGCGACTGCTACAGGTAGTATAGCCCAGAATGAGCTCGACCTTGGATTTTTAGGAGGAGCCGAGACCGGAGCTACACAACCCACGGCTGCCACCGAAACCGGAGCAGGCGGATCGACAAACACGATGGGAACTGTTGCCACAGGTGCCTGGCAAATCTAGATTCTAACTCAATTTCTAGACGAGACGGGCGCGACAACGGATACGGCAGCCACAGACTTCTCCACAGGGGAAACTGGGACTGGGAGCTGGACGACGACTACCACGACCCCGGGCTCTGGAACAACCACGACGACAACGCCTGGCTCTGGTACCACGACCACTACAACACCTGGGTCGGGCACTACCACGACTACGCCTGGCTCTGGTACCACGACCACTACAACACCTGGGTCGGGCACTACCACGACCACGCCCGGCTCCGGCATCACTACCACGACGACTTCCGGATCAGGCAGCACGACAACCACCCCTCCGTTTGGTAAGCGCTTTCCGGTCCATGGCTCTGACACCTTCGATTTTGAGGCGGAAACTGCTCAAGCGGTGCCATGTACGAGCCTGTCGCCTACTATGCCGACCTCAACGCGTCACCTGGGAAATTCGGCGGTTACTTCCTTACGGCGGAGGACTGCTCGCAGTTGTGCACGTACAACTATGGGCTATTGCCCTGTATCGGGTTCGCGTTTGAACCGGGGATGGCCAGGGGACACTGCACCATCTATCAGTACGACTATCAGGTGGTTAATTTGCTTTCCGCTCTAACTGTCATCGAGGTTGTACATGCTTAAACTTCATTTAGATTACGAATGCCACCAGTGTGGGTCCCGGCAACAGCAACGCTACTATCTATCGCATGTGTGGCGGATCGACGACGCTCAGCACGATCATGTACGCCTTTATCTAATTTATGGAGTGTAGAGCAGAGATAGAGTAGCGAAATCGCCCAGGGGACGGGGCCGCGGCTAGTGTTTACTTTACCCCCCCGCCTAGCCCGAGGGTCCCAAGGTTTTTAAAATGTACGCGATTTTTTTGAGATTTTTTGGCCATTCGGTAGCACATCAAAAAAAATATACTAACAGTTTTCATGGCAGCTTAAAATACTGTAATATAATATAGGTGTAGCAAAAACAAAAATAACCCTTGAAAATTGGGTTAAAAAGCGAGTTTTCGATATTTTCGTTATTTTTTGACATTTTCGATACACCATCCGATAGAGCTGCAAAAAAAATATAGTAAAAATTTTAATTTCAGCCCAAAATAATTCAATAAAAAATAGTTACAGTAAAAACAAGATTTAAACGCGATTTCTCTATAGAAACAGGAGGTGCAAAGCTAGTTTTCGACATTTTTACAAAATTTCTTTAACGCCACTCGATAGAACGTCGAAAAATATACTCAGGGTGCTAATTACAAGCAAAAATAATGTAAATTAAAACAGTTATGACAAAAAGAAGCAAAATCCGAATAACCGATCAACACTGTCTTAATTGTATAAATTTTAAATATTGATTTTTTCGCAATTGCGTAACGAATATCCCGTTGCAGCATGACCCCCACGACGACGTCTATCTGGAACCAGCCGACAACCACAACGACCGTCTGGAACCAACCAACGACAACGACGACGATCTGGAATCAGCCGACAACCACGACGACGATCTGGAATCAGCCAACGACGACTACAACCATATGGAATCAGCCAACGACAACGACGACACAGGGGTAAGTTGATGTTGCTGTTATTTGATTCACGACCCACGAGAAACGACTTCGATAGCACCGTAAACCCGTAGAATAACTAAAAGCTCTCCCTAGCCTGAGGATCGCGAAATTCTAGAACCGGCACGCTAAACACCACGACGACCACAGTCACTGCCACAACAGCCACGTCCACGACATTCATTCCGATCACTACAACCACAACAACACCCGGGTACACTAATTTTGGGTTTTTGGATTACCGTATTTCCACGGATAAAATCCCCCCAGTTGATTCAGAGTTCTTCTGCATTATCGGGGGGGGGACCCGAACTATTTGTATAAGCCTAGAAATGTCTAGTAACTTCATAGCAAGTATTTTAATTGTGTTATTGGTAAAAATAACTTAATTTGCACTAGCAAACTTTTAAAAAGTCGAAACTTTGGTCAAGAATCGGCCATTTTTGGTTTCCCTTCCCCCGATAAACGCCCCACCCCCGATAATGCGAAAGAATCTGATTCAGAGTGATAGGAAAAGAAGCCTGAGCTTAAATCCGAGGAAATACCGCACTTTGTGGTCACGGGCGGAAACAAAAACGCGGATTTTTGAGCGACAAAACCACGAATCTCCTCTAAATTAAGACTTCATGATCGATCTCGGCATTTTAGGGCCGGTACCACAACAACGACAGCGAGCAACCACCCGGCAAGCACCACCACGACCACCTCGCGGCCAACGACCACCACGACCTCGGGAGGGTCTGGAACGCGTAAGTCAGAACAACCAATCTTTCCAGGATATAATTTTTCTAATGGGATACCTAGAATAATTGGTAAAGGACGTTTAACGGGGGGGGGAGAGAAATAACGGGGTGGAAACCATTTTTCCCTATGGGCACCTGCGGTGCCAATTCAAACATGCCATCGGATAGAGCATCAAAAAATATATTAAGAGATTTAATTTGAGCCCGAAATACCACAATTAATTTATGTTTTTACTTTATTAAGCCAAAAAGTTTAATCAATTAAAATCGTTACGTTAATCCAATCGTTTTTGGACTGAAATTAAATCTCTTTTTCTACTTCGACTCGACGCTCTATCCGATATCGTTTTCAAAATAGCAGGATAGTTTTTATAAATACAAAAATGGTTGCCATCCGTTATTTGTCCCCCCCCCCGATAAGCGACCATTACCGAATGTCTTATATCAATTTCAGAATTGCCAGGATGCTCTGGGCCACCTTCCGACGTGCCGGGCTACGCGATCGTCCGCGTCAATGCCGATATCTCTCAGTCGCAAGGCCGCTTTGGTGGCTTCTTCAACTATGCGGAAGATTGTTCCCAGCTTTGCACATACGACTATGGCAATATTGGATGTGCGGGGTAGGCTGATTATATGCTTGACGATAACATTTTTGAGGACGAATTTTTGAATTTTTTTAAACTATTTGAAACGTTTTAATTACAGATTTGCCTTCACGCCAAATCCAAATGGCGGTCGCGGGAATTGTACGGTGTTCCAACAAAAATGGCAGGTACAGAAATATTTCAACATTGTCCCTGAGCTGCTTGAAAACTACGTACTGGACCGTTAGCGGGGGGGGTGAGGCTTTTAGCAGGGGGAAACCCACTTTTTGTTTTTCGACCGATTCGACCTGTTGATGATGGTATAATGTATTTTTATAGCGTTTTTAGCAGATTTTAATTGCCAAGAAGTTATAAAAAACGTTTAAAAATTTAGAAAATTCTAAAATCTTGACTTTTTTTCGACAATTTTCATTCATTCTTGACCAAAAGTCGAAAAATCGGCTGTATAGAAAACAAACATACTTTTCACGCTTATAGGATAGGATTGGGCCGTCCGGAAATACTGAGAAAAAGTGGTTTTCCCCACTGCTGAAAATCCCCCACGCGGTCAACGGTCCAGTGCCGAAAGCTAAACATCTAAAAATAAGGTTGACGCGACAGTCGACGTGGGTCCTGGCCTGAGCAACACGACGGTCTACGCCTTCTGCCGGTTGCCAGACACCACGATGTAAGTACTCCTCGAACGAGAACGTGAAATATCCTTTCCAGATCCTGGACCACGACGACGACAACAACAGCGTCGCCGGGCACCACAACTACAACTACGACACCGGCGCCGGCGACGACCACCACGACGACGAGCTCGAGCAGTACGACGACTACGAGCACTATGGCACCTGTCACTACAACGACCACTACGACCAGGTCCACCAGTACGACCACCACCGCAGCCGCAACCACAACGACGACGACAACCACAACGACAACCGCTGCCCAAGCCACTACCACGACAACGGCCGCGCAACAGCCGACGACGACAACTACCACGGGAGCGCCCGGTACGACCACAACGCCGGTACCTGGAGGTGAGGATTAGAATGCCTATCGAGATTTTTGGTTTTCAGTATGCTCGAAGGGGTACTACCTCGCTTCACCCTCCTGGGACAGCGGCTCCGCCCCAATGGGCAAATTCGTCGGCGACTACGTGTTCATCGAGTCGTGCTACCAGGCCTGCCTCAACAACTACGGACTGTTCAAGTGTGCCGTAAGTTGTCGCATCGTTTTGGAATTTCGAAATGGACCGGAAGTCGCTCAAGTCGTTTTCGGGTTGAGCGCTATTACGTATTAATCTAAATTGAATTACGCCATTCAAAAGTTATCCTTATGCACCTATACAAACCCACGCAATTTACGGTAATTAAAAGTCATTTAAAGGCGTTCACGTACGAGCCAGCAGCCCGAGGACGATGCTACGTCTACCCGGCGGTACCGGATCCTGTCGTCGAGGATCCCGATAGTTCTGTCCAACTATACCCAATGTGCTTGAATGTACGTTTTCAAAGCTTTTTAGGATTTTCGGACTGGCGATTTGAGATTTTTATAGCATCTTTCTTCCTTTAAAATCCCCCGCTTTTCCAGACGACAACAACGGCGGCAGGGAGATGAACAACAGCACGATAATGATGACGAATAACGATCCGAATCCCCTTGTCCTAATTGTGATCCATTGTTTACGTGTATCCCGGACCTATAAAATTAGTTCAAATTGTTTGTAAAGTCCCTGGATTAATATAATTAGGTCGCCCCCATGACAAATAAACACAAGGAGATTTTGTTTGATGATTTAAAACATTGTCAGGCCCCGAAAATTGCAACACCTGATTTATATAACTTAAATTTCGGTATTTTCAACTTATTTTCTAGATTCCTTAGATTTTAAAAATTAAATTTTACTCTTAAAAATTTGTAAATTCCCTCATTAACTAAAAACAAATATTTTTACCGTTTTAATTTTATTATTTAAGCCTAAACATATCGCTAAAACCGGATATTCTGGTTTTTAATTAATTTTCAAGTATATTTTTGAGTATTGCGGGGATTATATAACTTTAATTGCACCGCTGATTCTTTTTAGTTCTCGGCGTTTAAATTCCACCAAATCAAACTCGCTAGGAAGTTAATTAAATTAATACGTCAAGCTAATTTTTAAATGCTTTGAAGTATTTCAACGTTTAAATGTTATTTTTATTGTATCACTAATTTTTTTAATTCGCCGTTTAAATTCCCGCCAAATCCGAACCCGCTCAATTTCGTAATATCCAGCTGATGTCCATCTAGATTTTATTCGTCGGAACTCCCCCCTCTTTCCAATCGATATGGGCCATCCACACTTCCACTAGCCACTAGCGTTCGCACTACCGGTCCGGGCGGTGGTGTCGCCCGGAATACATCCGGAAATAGCGGGCAGAAGCGGAGGGAGCAGAGAGGAAAAGCCGTGGGGAATCGCGGCGGGACTATTCCTCCTGTTTCCTAGACACTCCGACTTCTCCCAACAATTTTTCCAGCATCGCGGCGGGCTCAAAACTCCTCTAAAACCTCTCAAAAGCTCCTTATCACTCCTATAGACACTTACTCTCTGTGCTCTCTCTTCCCTCTCTTATCTCTCCCGGCATCGCGGCGGGACCCTCCTCTCTCTCTGCACTCTCTCACCCTCACCATGTTCTCTCCCCTCTGCATCGCGGTGCGCACAAACTACAGCGGGTGGTATAAAAGCCCTGACCGATCAATCCCGGGCACCATTCCTGAAAATTTTTTGACGTCTGCCCTTCTCTAACCAACTCTTTCAACATGTCTGGACGTGGCAAGGGAGGAAAGGGACTCGGCAAAGGAGGTGAGCACCGTTTCGAAATTGATTTTTCTTTTCTTTAAAGCACGTTTCGATACTAAATCTGTCTTTTCCAGGAGCCAAGCGCCATCGCAAAGTGCTCCGCGACAACATCCAGGGCATCACCAAGCCGGCCATCCGTCGTTTGGCGCGTCGTGGAGGTGTCAAGCGCATTTCTGGACTTATCTACGAGGAGACTCGTGGTGTTCTGAAGGTTTGTATTTTAGAAAATTACTTTAAAGAATAATCATTTTATCTAATATCGCCAAAAGCGTAATTTTCTCTTTCTTTTACACTTTTTCGTACTAGTTTAGTACTTAAAATCAAAAAATACTTTTAAATTAAAACTCTACACCGTCGATACTTTGATACATACTTTATAACGTTACAGTTAGTAGTTCAAAAGCTGCATTAAAATGTAGTAAAAGTCGCAGTTTCCCCATACCCCATATTTTCAGGTGTTCCTCGAGAACGTGATCCGTGACGCCGTCACCTACTGTGAGCACGCCAAGCGCAAGACGGTCACCGCCATGGACGTCGTCTACGCCCTGAAGCGCCAGGGCAAGACCCTCTACGGATTCGGCGGCTAATTCCTGTATTTTCGGTGTAATTTTTGTATTTTCTGTACTTTTCTACCCTCTCGATCTCCCAGCTGCATCATCGGTTCAAACTCTTTCTCTTTATTAATATAACTGTCATTACGTACGAGTGCCTGCCCGGAAATGATTTTGTAGTGGAATAAATATTGAACCCCCGATATATTTTTACAAATACAGGCGATGATATAGTATACCTGGACTTGGAATAGCGCGAAAACGGTCACAGAGGTCAGATTTTAAAAGTAACACAGAGAAAATCGATTAGCAGCTTGCGAAGGGTCGCCATAATTTGAAAACTGTCAACATTTGCAAAATCCAAGGTGCACGAGTGTTGAAAAACCGCGCTATTTGGTGGTAACATATGCCAATTTTATCCACATTTTAGCGGCAAATTATAGTGTTTTGAAACTGATTACACGCTTTTATTTCAATACATGTTGGAAAATCGTCAAATGGTTTTTTCTGTCGAACTCTCGTAAAATTTCCTTCAAAAATAAATCGCCTTGTTATAAAATTAGTAAATCACAATATTCTACAGTATATCGAATTTCGAAGTGCGCCAAAGAGTACGGGAACGGCAAAGTTCAGTTTTTTTTAAAGTGCCTGAAATCGATACGGAGAAATCAAATGGGCAGGCTGCCAGGGGTCGGGAGAATTTGAAAAATGCGCTATTGAGGGCTACCGTACGCCAAATTTATCCACTATAGCTGCGAATCATAAACTTTATTGTAGAGAATTGATTAGCAATGTGCCAAGGTGTCCAGTTTTCTGAAAAATGCAGGATACCTTACCGCACGCCAACTTTATCCAAATTTTCGTATCGTGCCTTGAGTATCTATTACCAATTTTAACTTCAAGGCGTGTTTTTATAAGCCTCAACAATGGGCATGTTTCGAAAGTAGGAAATAAGCCATCTTTTTTTTAATTCTCAAAAAGTTTCTTTTAAGAAAGATCTGTATTTGTGGGAATGTGTGCATTTGCAATGGAGTTCCAAAACTCTTGTTCGCGTCCTTTTATTCATCGTATTCATATTACACAGCGTTTGGGGGATACCGTATTTATGCATGAGTATCATCGTTAAATGGAAAGTATTGGATACAAAAAAACAAATAAATTAATTGGGTAATTTATTTGGAGGAGGTGTACTTGGTGACGGCCTTGGTGCCCTCGGATACGGCGTGCTTCGCCAGTTCTCCCGGAAGGATCAAGCGGACGGCCGTCTGTAAGGAATCGATATTATTTCGTAATTCGAAACTGTAGTTTAAAGTCTATAAAAATAGATATATCAAATATTTATGGCACGCTTTATTCGCTTAAAAAATTAGTATAATCTGGTACGTCGTAGCCTGTATTTCGTACTTTTTAGCAGTGATTTTGGATGTAAAAAATTTATTTTTTGGTTTTTAGCGTCTTTTGGCAAAGCTATTAGCCATTTACAGTACCCGTTTGGACATTTGTCATTAAAGGCAAAAGTTTCAAATTCAAATTACCAAAAAAAAGGGTCACATCCAAGTTTGTAGTTTAGAGTCTATAACCTTAGATCTATCAACGGTTTAAGGTACCCTAATTGGTGTCTACAATAATAAGTTTTGTAAATCATAGCTACATGTATTCTGAATCTTTGGTAAGGTATGTGTCGTTTAAGGTACTCTTTCCCACTTCCTCATTTCTCACCTGAATTTCGCGGGACGAGATCGTGGAGCGCTTGTTGTAGTGGGCCAGGCGAGAAGCCTCCGAAGCGATACGCTCGAAGACGTCGTTGACGAACGAGTTCATGATCGACATCGCCTTTGAGGAGACACCGGTGTCCGGGTGGACCTGGAAGAGGCGGTTTTAAAAGGCCGTCCGCCAGTCACTCGAACAGGCCCCATACTAGCTTGGCACAGTTTTTTTCGATCCATTTTTTATGACGTCATCTGAAAGAGCATGGTCGAATTAGTAGAGTGGGATGGTTTTGAAAGTTTTAAAAGTTTAATTTTGAGGTTAAAATGGGCCTCAAAGTTGCCGACACCCAAAAAGTATATCGAAAACTACTGAACAGAATTTGCCGAAACTTTGTGACAATCCCTAATTTGGGTCGGGGAACATTTTTCTAATACATTGCGAAACCAGAAAGTGGCCGGAACATAGGTATCTTGCGTACTAAAAACAGTTTTTTCGGAATTAGTAGTTTTACGGGTGATCGCTGCATCAAGCGATTAGTACCAAAAGATGCACCGAAATTTTCTCTTTCGATTGATGTATCTTTTAGAATGCAGCGAGCACCCGTAAAAACCGAAAAATCGTCCTGAATGGGTCGCCAAAGACCAAATTAGGCAAATATTTCAGGGAGTGACATGGTTAAGTGATTCCATAGCCCGAGTTAGGATAATTGCAAAAAAGAGCAAAAAGAAATTAGCTTTTTAAAGGTAGGCTGGGATTGATCTAGGAGGCGCGCCGGCGCAAGGATCCCACGCCACTACCACTAATGCACTACAGCGACAGCCGAACAGGCCTGCAGCCAAATCGGCCCCAGAGGCCACTCCCTCACTTTCCCCACCGTCTCGCCTACTTCTAGCCTATCCCCGCAAGGAATCTTCACCAAATGGCCGAAATTGACGCTTTCGGCGACCCATTCAGGACGATTTTTTCGGTTTTTACGGGTGCTCGCTGCATTCTAAAAGATACATCAATCGAAAGAGAAAATTTTGGTGCATCTTTTGGTACTAATCGCTTGATGCAGCGATCACCCGTAAAACTACTAATTCCGAAAAAACTGTTTTTAGTACGCAAGATACCTATGTTCCGGCCACTTTCTGGTTTCGCGATGTATTAGAAAAATTTTCCCCGACCCAAATTAGGGATTGTCACAAAGTTTCGGCAAATTCTGTTCAGTAGTTTGCGATATATTTTTTGGGTGTCGGCAACTTTGAGGCCCATTTTAACCTCAAAATTAAACTTTTAAAACTTTCAAAACCATCCCACTCTATTAATTCGACCATGCTCTTTCAGATGACGTCATAAAAAACGGGTCGAAAAAAACTGTGCCAAGCCTTGTTCGGGTCTCTCGCAAACGGCCTTTTAACGTCGTAACTAGTTTCGAAACTAGAAAAATTCTTTAAAGCCACTTTCTAAATGCAATTCGACTTCGATTCCGCTTATTTTTATCGATATTACTATTTCCTACTACAAACCTGCTTGAGGACGCGATAGATGTAGACGGAGTACGACTCCTTACGCGACTTCCTCCTCTTCTTGTCGGGGTTGCGGGTGACCTTCTGCGACTTTCCGGCCTTCTTGGCTCCCTTGGCGGACGGCTTGGGCGGCATGATTTGGGTTCTGCAAAAATATACTTGATAAAAATCGATTTATAAATGGGTAGAAAGTGAAAAACAGAAAAGGTAGCTAAGAAACGATTAGTATAGAGGTCAGTGACGTAGGAAAGGCAAAAATTACAGGGTGTTGATAGGTGTGAAACGGAACCTTTAGATATTGCGATCGGAAGATTCGAGAATGGATCGAAATGTACGGAATTATTAACGTAACATGCCTTAAAAGCTTAAAAGATCTGCTTTTTTGGCAGTTACCATACTAGCTACATAAGACACCAAATGACGGTTGAAATTTTGAATTCTGACAGCGAATTTTAGCACCTTTAAACCCGTTAATTTCCAAAATATAGAACTCAGAGGATGAGGATAAGACTTTTCGACTATCCCAGTACGTTAATTGACTAATTTCAGCGTACTGTCATTAGAAACATGCCGCAAATTTAGCCATACCGTAGCCAAAACCGGCCCGGATCAACTCGAAAACGTGCAAACGCGTCGAAACGAAGCTAGCGGGACAAAACTGGGGCAGAAACGAGGGAAACTAAGAAAAGGAAGCCAAACGATGGGTGGTTGAGGGTAGGAGGTTTCCCGCATCGATCCGACCCTTATATACTCGTCTGCGGGAGGGGCGGGCCGGCAGATGATTGGCCTGAACGCTAAACCACGCCCAACCCCACCCGGAGTATATATAGCCCTCGGGTGACAACATCGACCGTCGCTACATCTGCTCGAAATTCATTCTTTTCCCTTGTATCTTTAGCTTCTGTTAATTTCCTTTGGACAGATGGAGTTTGACCTAGTTTTGATTTTGCGATCAGGGCGTCGAGAATTATCAGGATTTGACCAGGAAGAGGTTTTTGATCGCGTTCTCGAATTACCATAGGATTAAGCTACGGTTTTCTATAATCAAAAACTTGTGATTTGGCGAATTTCAAAATCCTGAACTATTTCAGAAAGAATCAGAACTTATACTTTAAAAATTTTCAAATAAAAAAACTGATACTTTGTCGGGTTTCTGTTCAAACTGATAATCCCTTTAAAATAATCAACTACTAGAAGGTTGTAAATCGCTTAAAAATTGATTTCCCTAAAAATTAAGCCTCTGAAATTTAACGGATCTTAGCGTTTAAATTGATCCCAAATCATTTTCGAAACTATCGTACGATTTTTGCGAGTCGGAAAATCGGAAGCTCAACTCACCGATTTTTACATGTTTTCCCATTTTATTGATACATTAAAACAAAAAAACCGATCGATTTTTAGTTACCTACAACTCTTGCAAATATGAGCGGACGCGGAAAGGGAGGAAAGGCCAAGACCGGAGGCAAGGCCAAGTCGCGCTCGGTCCGCGCCGGGCTTCAGTTCCCGGTTGGACGTCTGCATCGTCTCCTCAGGAAGGTGGGAATTTAATGGCTTGATTAAGAAAAGTCTAACATATATAATATAAAAACAAGTTTGAAAAAATACCGTACTCTAACTAAAACAATATTTCTAGGGCAACTACGCTCAGCGCGTTGGTGCTGGAGCCCCCGTCTACCTGGCTGCCGTGCTGGAATACCTGGCTGCTGAGGTATGTAAAGTACTAACGTACAGTTTCGCACTAATAAACCGTATTGTATCGTATCGTACAGTATCATATCGTACTGTACGAGACGAACGGTTTATTAGTACTACACCGTAAAGCAGCGCAAAGTAGTATCGTATCGTACTACTAAAACGTATCGTGACGTACCTTAACGTAGTATCGCTTCGTATCGTAATACTATCGTACGTCGTAACCTGCGTATACTAACGTAACGTAACGTAGTAAATGCTGAAAATCAACGATTAAATTATACAAAACCATTTAAGGTCCTCGAACTCGCCGGAAACGCCGCCCGCGACAACAAGAAGACCCGCATCAACCCCCGCCATCTCCAACTGGCCGTCCGTAACGACGAGGAGTTGAACAAGCTTCTGTCTGGAGTGACGATTGCTCAGGGCGGAGTGCTGCCCAATATTCAGGTAAGTAAATGTGAAAAAATTTAGCGAAATTATAGAAATTACATCATGAAATTTCGATTTCCGAAGCTATTTAGATCGATAAAATAATAATTTTAAAAATTTTTCAGGCGGTTCTGCTGCCTAAGAAGACGGCGGGTGAAAAGGAGTAATCAACGAAATGCATTCCTTCCCAAAGATCTCCATCAAATAACAACAAAAACGCTGTCCGTTGTGCTTCTCATTACACCATATGTGGTTTTTAATTTATGTATTCGGATTTGTATAAAGTGCACAATAAACCGGTTGAAAACGTAACCAGGTGTGTAAAATACGAACCCGTACACAAAAAGACCGCATGAATTCAGACAAGAAAAAGAAATTCAGCAGAAATTAATCGAATTAATACTATTAAAGCAGCCTTAAATACTGCAAATCATAGCTCGAATTGCCGGAATGGTAAAATCCATCTGAAATTAAGGATATATATCGTATTATATGGTATAACTACGCCAAACAACCCAAAATTCAGACTTGTCCACACACGACCGGCCCAAACCCAAACCGACCCAAACGATGAGTCAGGGCCGAACAAGGCCCGACCTGGCCGGTCAGCCCCTGCTATAAAACGCCACTAGAAGCTTAGTAAACGAATTCAAGTTCCTTACTTTCTCAAAGTCCATAAGTCTTCATTTTTGCTACAATATTTCAAGCATTTAACCTCTTCAAACTAGAGATGTTACGAATCAAGTAATATAAAGACCAAGTAAATTTGCTTGAACAACTTTATTTGCATCCGAAATCTTCAAGTAAATAAAACTTATTTTACGCCGTTTGCTTGAACAAGCATCAAGTAAAATAAAATTACTTGATTTACTTGATCTTGATTGATTTGGGAGAATTACTTGATTTTCAGCGAAATTACTTGATTTTGTCCAAATTCGCAATGCAAATCAGGCAATCGTGCCGCCAACCCAGTAAATTAGCATATTATCATGTCATAAAGTTCATTACCATCCGAAAAATGCCAGAATTCCCGAAAGCTATTGTTTGATCAAGTAAATCAAGTAAATCAAGTAATCTTACTTGGTTCTTTCTAGAGCGGAGTCAAATAATATTATTTTACTTGCTCATGCGCTCAGCCCCATCCAAATCAAATAATATTGTGCCATTGTATGCAAATAATCTTGATTGTTAATTGATTCTTAACATCTCTACTTTAAACACCCCAAAACGATATTTCCAGCTTTATACCAATTCGAAAATATCATTTAGCCCTAAACTGCCACAATTTTCGTCTCGGACGCTGGCCGCATTCTCCTCGAGATGAAAACCCCCAGACGAAAATTAAGAAAAATCAGAGTGCCTGGAATGGGAGATCATTACCGCGTTAAACTTCGTTCCGAACGAGCCGGACTCATTTTCCCCGTCTCCAGAATGGAGCGCTACTTGCGAAAAGTTGGTAGTATTAAGTAGTTCGTAGTATGGATGTCATTACGTATACAGTTTTTATAACGTAGCATGATAAACATTTAACCTAAAAATCATCCTAGAAAATCGTTCAAATATTTAAAAAAAAGTTAAATCGTTTCCAGGGCCGTTTCGGCAAGCGCATTGGCAAAACGGCTCCCGTATACTTAGCGGCAGTGTTGGAATATTTGGCTTCAGAGGTGTGTATCGAAATAATTACATAAAAGCTCAAATTTGAAACCTTAAAATATACTTAAAATCTGTTTTATTTTTCAGTTAGCAGAACTCTCCGGAAATATGGCCAAGGAAAAGCCGATGAACCGAATCAGGCCTCGCGAAATTGTGCTGGCAGTCCGGCAAGATGACGAGTTGGACAGGTTGCTGAAGGATATCACGATTCCCGGAGGTGGCATCTACGCAATCACGTGGCATCTTGATAGACAAATCGAAAATTTGGAGCAGATTGCCTGGGAAACGCAGCAAGCCGAAGAAGCTCTAGCGGTTCAGGCTGTAGATTTGGACGGAGTCGTTTAATAAATTATAAAATACACCTTACCTCACTGACTCATCGATTCCGACAGAATCTTCCACGTGGAAGCCGAATCGATTTTACTTGGAAAAACCACCGCCCAGCGACGACATTTGGGAGGCAAACCAACCCTAAACAAGCCGCCGGATGTGTCTAGCCGTCTCGCCCCGCGATTACGCAAGGTTTTGCAGTCTCGACAAACTATAAAAAAACGGTGCGGTAGACGACAAAGTCAGCGTTCTGAATTAATTTTTCTGAAATGAAAACATTTTTTGGGGCTTGGCTGGCAGTAAAAGTATGACGAAATTATTTTTGATGAAAAATTTCACGTTTTATGCGCGAAAAAACCCATTTCGGTCAAAAAACGCGTGAACACCCGAGATTAGGCCTAAAATCCGTTAAAAAATTAAAATATATTTCAAAAGTAGAACAGTTAATTTCGCTATTTTACGCTGTAACTACCGTATTTCAGTAATAGGAAGCTGGTTTTTGGACTCACGAATTTTACGTACGTACGTACGTTTTGGACGTTCTTCCCTATGATTTTTTATCTCTAAAAGTTTTCCGGATTTCCGGATTGCAACCGGATTTGGCTCTGATCAAACCGGCTTTTCGATACAGCCACCCGCCAGCCGGTTTCCGTTTGATTCCCCTGCCCCTCTCCGTACCGTGTTGTCTCGCGTAGTCTGCGTTTCGTTTTTCTTTTCGTGCTTTTCTCTTTTCCTCTCTCGCGTCTGGCCGATTTTCGCGCCGCCTCCCGATACGGAATCAAAACAAATTGATTTATTATTCGTCTTGCTTCGAATTCTCCGACAACAAGCTTGTGTAATTTTTCTACGATTCATATGCCCGTTTTCAGCACGCCTGTGGTCGATTTTTGATCAATATTTGACCAGGCTCTCCCGTATTTCCTTTTGTTTTTTTTAGGCCCGAAAAATATATTTCTTCAGTCGTCGCTTACGATCAGATTTAGGATGCGCAGATGCCCATTTTTTAGGAGCATCACCGGCTTTCCATCCTCCTCTTTTTCCTTTTTTAGGTCCGCAAAATTTCTTCTATTTTTTAGGTTCACGCTTAGGCTAGGCTAGGCTAGACTTTCATCCGCTTTTCTTTCGCCGTTTTAGGCACCGAAATGGCTGCTTTAGTTCTCGCGGACTGTCCGTTTCAGGATGCGCATATGCGCATTTTCTATCAACGCTCTCTATTTTTCTTTTCGTGTTTTATCCCCGCGAATAGCTGTTTTAGTTCTCGCCACTGTCAGCTTTGGTCCACGCACACGACAGTTTTCCCGTTTTTAGGCCGGCAGAATATGGATTTTTAGTTCTTGCCTACTATCCCCTTTTCATCAATATTTTTCTGCCTCTTGCTTTTCCTGTTTTTAGGCCCCAAAAATCGTTTCTTTCAGTTATCCGCCGGGGCGTGGGAAGATCAGAAGATGTCGGCTCCGAACGGGGTTCGTTGCTTTTTTTAGTGCACTTAACTTTACTTTTTAGGAAGAAGCTGATGACCGCAATGTTGAGATTTGGAAGATCAAGAAGCTCATCCGGAATTTAGAACTCGCGCGAGGGTGGGTTTTCGGATCCGTTTTTACAACACTGTCTTTAGAAATGGTACTTCGATGATTTCATTGATCATCCCGCCCAAGGACCAGATCGCCCGCGTCGCCCGAATGTTGGCCGACGAGTTCGGAACGGCGTCGAACATCAAATCGCGAGTGAATCGGCTGTCTGTCCTCGGCGCCATTACCTCCGTACAAGGCCGATTGAAGCTATGGACAAAAGGTATAGTTCTTTTTTGTGTTAAAATCCTATGTAAACGTTTTTTTTTAGTTCCGCCCAACGGCCTCGTTATTTATTGCGGCACGATATTGACGGATGACGGCAAGGAAAAGAAGGTCAACATTGATTTCGAGCCGTTCAAGCCTATCAACACCTCCTTGTACCTTTGCGACAACAAATTCCACACAGAGGCGCTTCAAGGTATGTTTTTACCGTTTTATGGCATTACTTGCGTTCTTTTTTTTTAGCCCTTCTCGCCGATGACACGAAATTCGGGTTCATCATCATGGACGGTAACGGCACACTGTTCGGCACGCTACAAGGAAATTCTCGCGAGGTCCTCCACAAGTTTACCGTCGAATTACCAAAGAAGCACGGTCAGTTTGACTTTGAATTTTCGTTATTGTATCCTATTTTCCAGGCCGTGGTGGTCAATCAGCGCTGCGTTTCGCGCGTCTCCGAATGGAGAAGCGTCACAACTACGTGCGCAAGGTGGCCGAGATATCCGTGGAGATGTTTATTAAAAACGATAAGGTACTATACAAGTTTTTTTTGGAAAATTATTGTCTTTTTAGGTTGCCGTCGCTGGCCTCGTACTCGCCGGTTCCGCAGATTTCAAAACGGAGCTCGGCCAATCGGACATGTTTGATCAGGTGATATTGATTTTTGGCTTCTAATAATTCTGTTTTTTTTTCAGCGTTTACAAGCGAAAATCATCAAGACTGTCGACATTTCGTACGGTGGCGAGAACGGCTTCAACCAGGCCATCGAGCTGGCCGCCGAATCGCTGTCGAACGTCAAGTTTATCCAGGAGAAGAAGCTGATCCAGAACTATTTCGACGAGATCAGCCAGGTAGTTTATTTAATGATTTTCTAATTTAATTTTTATAGTTTTCTAAATCAATTTTATTTAGGACACTGGCCGTTACGTTTATGGAGTGAAGGACACGCTACAAGGCCTCGAGATGGGCGCCGTGGAGACGTTGGTGTGCTGGGAAAATTTGGACATTACAAGGTAAAACTGACTTCTCAATTGTAGTTCCTTCTACTCTACTTAGTTTAAATTCCAAACTACTATAATTTAATTATCTCCCTTTTTTCAGGTACAAGCTGAGAAACAACGCCGGCACCGAAACCATCCTTCACCTGCGGCCCGAAGAAGAAAAGGACAAGTCGTACTTCATCGACCGCGAGACGAACACCGAGATGGAGCTCGTCGAGTCGGTGTCGCTGCTCGAGTGGCTCGCCAACAACTACAAGACGTTCGGCACCGTGCTCGAGATTGTCACCGACAAGTCGCAAGAGGGCGCCCAGTTCGTGCGTGGTTTTGGTGGAATTGGAGGTGAGGATTTATAATTTTTTTTTGGTATTTCTGCGTGGGGGAATCTGAATTTTTCAATAGAACTAGCGAAGGTGTTTTATCCGCAAACGTAAAAAAATATTGAAAAATAAAAAAAATCGTTTTTCCGACCAAAAGTGATCGTCTTTGGATCAACATGTTACAAGTTTTCACTGTTCTGAAGCTTTTTAAGCTGTTTTTTTACCAGAAATACTTTTTATCAGGTTGGATAATAAGTTCTGTCACAATTTTTTGGAATCGCTTGTTAAAGCTGCAGACGTGCCCAAATTACTAGTGGGATATATGGTTTGATAGGTATTTTCGAGCTCTACCTTGGGTAGACCCTCCTAGCACCCAAAATTGAGAGTCACCGAGATAGAGGTTCAAGAAGTTTTCCGCAAAAACGTACCAAACCGATTTTGCAAGCTACCTCTGCATAGAGCAATTTGCATGCGATACCTTTAACACCAATCGATAGCTCTCGAGGAGTATATATCGATGGATGTTAAGATCATCAAAATCGGACATCAGAGGGCCGAGATATCGGCCTTTGAAATTTGGCCCGTTTCTTAGAACTTTTCCCAAAATCCCATACATTTGGTCAAAATGCGCTCGGTTCTTTTGAGAATCAAGCGGTCAGTTTTGGCCGCGGGCTATCAAATGTATGGGATTTTGGGAAAAGTTCTAAGAAATGGGCCAAATTTCAAGGGGTCGTATCTCGGCCATCCGATGTCCAATTTTGATGATCTAAGCATCTATCGATATCTACTCCTCGAGAGCTATCGATTGGTGTTGAAGTTATCGTATGCAAATTACTGTATGCAGAGATAACTCGCTAACACGCTTTTGCGTCATTTTGCGAAAACCTTCTCGGGCCTGTATCTCGACGTCCCTCAATTTTTGGGTCAGCTGATGGTCCTCCCAGAATAGAGTATTGTGAAACCTATCAAACCATACCTCATACTTCGGAATCGGGAACATCTGCGATTTTAACGAGCGCTTTCAAAAAATTGTGACAGAACTTATTATCCAACCTGATATTATAGAGAGGGGATGTGTTTTACTCTCAAAAAATACAAAAATATTGATTTCCGTTCTAACAAGGGAAGTGCATATAGTTAAGCTGGCTTTTTGACACGGGACCAAGTGGATTTGGGGTAATCGACCATGCTGAGAATGATGGCGCTTTTAGAAAAACCGGAAGAGCCTTCGTTTTCCGGATATTCCGCTTGAAAGATTTTTGCCGAAAATCACGGTCCGGAAGGGGCTGGCTCACTATTTTGGACAGGCCTCATGAACCCTTCCCAGAGCCCCCTTCCCATCGGCTTGGCGGCGCAGTGGTAGTGCGCCGGAGCTACCAGGCGGGGGGTCTAGGGTTCGAGTCCGGCCACCGTCACGATTTTTTGCTTTTTGCCCCTTGATGGGAGATCCTAGCGATCTCCCCGCGAGTCAAGGGATTTGGGTTATAGGCAACTTTTTTGGAATTTTTTTATAAAACAAACACCGACAGTAACAACAATAAAAGAGCAGCTAGTTGACCAGAACAAAGATTAAAATGGTCTATTGAGGGAGTTTCAACAACAACGATGAAAATCTACAACAAAACAGTCAAAGCAGTACACCTCACGGCAATAGGGACAGAGAATGAATCCGGATCGTGGGCAGGATTTGCAAGAATGGGAAGCATTGTCGGGAGACAAACATCGCTGAACCGGCGTCTTGAAAGGCCCGGGGTGATCCTCTACGTATCCGCCTTTGTACCAAGAGTATTGGAAGAATTCGACGAAGACTGGTGCGCACATAATCCAGTAAACTTGCGACATTAGGCGTAAGATATTATCTCTCTTGAAGATCGAAAAGGGCAGTTCTTCGCAAATTATGTGTATATGGATCCTTTTGACCAACCCTTTCAAAGGTCCAAACACATAGCAATCCAAAGGCTGGATGAGGCCTGTTGTCCCGGCGGGTATTTGTAAAATCTCGATGACGGTCGGCACCAGGGAATTGATGAGCGCGTGATCACGGAATCCACCCCAGTGGTCTAACAAAAATACCTCGATGGTTGCACTTGAAGAGTTGGCTATGCACGAGGTAACCCATTCCTTCAAAGAATCCTTCGTCATGATGTGGCTTTTTCCAGCCCTGACAACTAGGTTGTCAGCCTTGAAATGATTGGGAGGTAGGACCCCGTTCCTTTCTTGCAAATTGATAAACAGCTTGTCACCGAGTTTCCCATCACCATAGATAATGGGCAGTACCGTAAATGAATGGGTCAAGGAGGAGCTTGCCTGGACGCGTCTAATCGTCTTCTTTTCACCCATGAAGGCAAGTGATCGCGCCGTATACTGTTCTTTATTGAACGCTGACTGGTCCGCATTCGCCAAATGTGATAACGACAATCCTGCCGCAAGACGATCTTTCACGACTTTGACGAATTCGGCTGCTTCTTTCGCCTTTTCTTCATCTTTTCGGAGTGCTCGCGTTGTGACGAAAGAGGTAATCTTCCGCGATACAATCCCAATACTCCCTTTGAACTTTTGAATCCAACGACTCGAAGCCTTGAAATTGATGACCAAATCCTTCTCCCGGTTAATCCTCAAGGCGTCACTTTGTATGTCCACATCGTGCAAAATGATGCCGTCCTCCAGCTTTTTTTGGGTTGAAGCGGCCAAAAGTTCAACCAACTTGGCAAGGTTCGCACGTCTTGAAGCCCTTACTATTCCCGCCTCTTCAAAATCGCGCAGCTTTGTCAGGTGGTTCCGGGTTTTGATAAACGCATAACGTTCATGCATTGATGCCAAAGTTCGGAATTTTTGCTTCGGGCTCCGGTAATAATTTAGCGCGTCTTGAACCCGCTCGCAGGGAACTCTGGTACCCGAAAAAAACACATACTTTGGATCATCGTCGATCTGCTCCACGCCCTCCAATTCATCATTCGGATCCCATGTTTTGTCTTCTTCCGCGTCGAGGGCATCAAAGTAATCCTCATCGTAGGTCATTTGCCCGTCTTGGGCAGCCGACAGTAACATCGAAATCGTGCCCACCAGACGGATCTCCTCGCGATTTGGTGCCTGTTGGTTGTTGTTGGTCTGCTGGGGTGGAAAGCGTTTGGCAAGCTCCGCCACAACCAGATGCGGGTTGATATCCATATCTGAAAAATACGAGTTATGCTATACATGGACGAATCGAAACAGCAGAAACAAAGGTTTTTTCGGCGATTTAAAGAAAAAAAAAGCGGAAAAATTGGAAAAACTTGATAAACATTTGGATTTTAGGTAAAAAAACGATGCATTCTACTCACCAATTCGTCGCCGCACAGAATTTCTCCGTCAGTAGGACCATATTGTTCCGAAAAAGGAAAAAGCAAAAAATCGTGACGGTGGCCGGACTCGAACCCTAGACCCCCCGCCTGGTAGCTCCGGCGCACTACCACTGCGCCGCCAAGCCGATGGGAAGGGGGCTCTGGGAAGGGTTCATGAGGCCTGTCCAAAATAGTGAGCCAGCCCCTTCCGGACCGTGATTTTCGGCAAAAATCTTTCAAGCGGAATATCCGGAAAACGAAGGCTCTTCCGGTTTTTCTAAAAGCGCCATCATTCTCAGCATGGTCGATTACCCCAAATCCACTTGGTCCCGTGTCAAAAAGCCAGCTTAACTATATGCACTTCCCTTGTAAGCAGTTTAAAGTTTACAGCCTAGATTTGCTAAAAGGCTTGTTAAAATACTTGTTATTTCATTACCAGGCATTTCTAAATCTATGAGAAAAGAAAAACGGATCCTCCTTTCCGGAAATACCAAGAATTTTTAAATTTTCGTTTTTCAAAAATAAAATCGTTTTTTTAGGTCTTCTCCGCTATCGCGTCGACTTCCAAGCGCAAGATATGGCCGACGACCTGGACGGCATCGACCTCGACGACTACTAAAATGGATTGTTATGGAATTATAAAAATTTCACATAAAAAACAATAAATGATTTACGGCGCTAGGACCGCTTTTCCATTGCCGCCGCGCCCCTTCCTAAAACAACTTTTCTTTCGTACTATGGCCGGGAGCCACCCCCGGAAATCCCTGGTAATTTCTTGTTATCGATGTCACCGATGTTCCCTCCACTACGCGGTCCTTTTATATATGTTTGTGTGTGTGATTTTAATTGTTGATCTTAAAAGTTAATAAATTGGCATCAGTCGATCGGGCGATAATTTATTGGTTTCAGAATTTTTACATGCTATAGACAACAGTGACAATGGATGCCGGCGGAATTTCAACGTTGGCGAATCGAGTCGGCCTGGCCTGGTCGACGATCGTATACTGGCCGGTGGTGTTGGCGTTTTTGTTGTGGAGCACGAGGACTCGTTGAGCGCCATCGGGGGCTACGAACGCGACGCCTGAATGGGATTTATTAAGGCTATACTAAACCTCTTTGAGAATTGAGGCATTTTTAGGTAGACTTTGGGGTCAATCCATTTTTTAGACTAGGCTAGACGCTAGGTTATTTGTAGACTTTTTAGGCTATACTTTAGGTTCGTTTTTAGACTTTTTGGGCTAGACGTTGGGTTATTGTTGTTTGTCTTTTTAGGCTAGCCGATCGCTTCTTACCTTCCAAATCGAGGCTGGGTGAGGAGAAGCCGACGCGCGTGTAGTCGGGAAGGACGAAATTACTGAAATCGAAGTGAATTTGTTAGTCTGCTCTTTTTTTACGAGCCCTGGCTTTACCAAGCTTTAGCCGGAGATTTTTAGCCAGAACGAACCTGAAATGTGCCAAAACATAGAACATGGGCTGCTTGATGAATTCATCAACCGTGTAGTTGGCAATGATCGGTGAATCCACAAAGTTTTTCACCCAATTCGGGCCACCCTGGGGGTCGAGGACGATGTTCCAGTCAACCCAGCCCTGGATGCCGTGCGAGATGTCCTAAATGGCATATTAGTCGAATTCGCCTTTTCTTTGGCACAAATTTGGAGGACTTTTCCTCTGTGTACAAAAATCCACCTCAATGATGTTCTGCGCGTATTGATCGGCGCGATTCCAATCGCCCATCACCGGCGACAGCTCATAGTCGTGCCAGCCGGCGCACGCCTAGAAACATAATTCTTTTGCATGCAATACGATAGCCCTTACCTCGGTGTACAGGCTGATATATCCGGGGTACTTTTGCATCGTCTGGTCAATGACTTCGGGGGAGATTCCCTCATCGGCGTACCAATGCCAGGCAAAACCGCCGACGTATGGAGCGGTCACTGGGTCACCGAGGCACTAAATACGTTTTATTTTGTGTAATATTAATGCTTCTATGCGTTGGAGTGGCAATTGAGCCACCCTTCACCAAGCCGATTTTGTGCAGAATTTTGCGCTGATCCCAAACCCATTTTCAAAAACCTACGAAACGACCAGATCAACAAATTTTAGGTTTTTGGCGTGAAAAGGCCTAATTTCGAGAAATTTTTGCTTTTTCCACACTGACACTTAGCTTCTTTAATCTGGTCATTTCTATGATTTTGAAAACAGTCTCGGAACCAGCGCAAAATAAGCCTGATACCGTGCGGAAATCCGTGGAGATACCTCTTTTAATTGATACCTTATCCGCAAAATCGGGGAAAGCATAGCGATTCTCATCTCCGATGAGCAAAGTCAGATCTTTGGTGGCATCATTCGCGCGAAGCATCGGCCCGAGGTGGTATTTGACGAAATCACTAGAATTTCGGCGTTTATCATGTAAAATTGACAAAATCCTCCCTGCTTTTCATTATCTTTTTTTCTTTGGCGGATAAAGCATTTTTCAAGACCTACCACTCCTGGTCGCTGGTGAAGTTGACCACCTGGAACTTGTAATCGGCATTCTGGCCCTCACGGGGCTCGTTCGTCGGTGTCATCCCCCAGAATTTGATGCCTTCCTTCGCGTATTCCTCGAAGAAGCTGAAATAATAATATTTAGAAAAATGGGCGTTTTACCGCTTGTAATAAGTGGCATACGCCTTGTAGTAAGGCCCGGTTGTCTCACCCTTCATCGGAGCACCACCCTAAATAGCAATTCATTAGTTTTTATAATATCTCAAGCTTTTAGAGCTCAAAACTACGGTTATTTCGAGCTCACCTCCATCTTCCCGCTCGTCTTCATCCAACCGGGCGGTGCCCAAGCAGTGCAGAACAGCTTCAAATCGATGTTGCTCTGCTTGGAAAGTGAGACGGCTTGTTTGATGTAGGGGATCTAATCAGAGCGAATAAGAACTAGAAAAGAAGACGGTTACCTTATAAAGATAGTCCTCCTTCGTCAGGTTAAAGTTGACCATGTCGAAGTCGTCGACAACATCGTTGTACGAGTAGGGGCCGGTGGAAAAATCGGCCGACGCGACGACGGTGCGGGCGAAGCGGTAGCCGATTCCTAAAAATAAAGATACTTTTCAAACCCTTCTTGACGTCGTTAAATCGATAAAATGTAGTTTTAATTGTAGAAAACTTAGTAATACACTAAAAACGATAAAAATACAGCTTGGGCCTACCTTTAGGTCCATAATATTGGTTCATCAATTGATCGCTGGTAGCCTGGCTCAATTTCTTCAGGTTAATCCCCACAGCATCGGTGATCGCTCCGCCAAATCCGAGCATTTTCTAAAGGCTTTTTCTCACCTAGGCTTTCATCGTTTTAGTTTGTTTTTCTAACTTCAACAGCGTGTTTACAACCCTCAAAGTCCTGAAGCAAACGAATTCGTCTTAAAACCTAACCTGGAACTTTCTTGTCGTGTCAATGTTGATCGTTGACGTCGAATCTAAACAAAATTTCAAGCTAAAATCCGCTAACAAACTCGGAAAGGCGATAAAGTGGAAGTCGACGCGGTCGAGACGATATTGGTCACGCGAAGAGATGTAGACGGTAAAGTTTTCGCCCTGAATTAATGTTTGTAAAAATGGAAAAAGCTAGTCCAGCTGTAAACGTGTTGTAGCTTGGATTTATGCTTCAAAACTTGTTCCGACAACTTTGATTCTATTTTTCCAAACGGAAAATCCAAAAATTTTAATTAGGATCGAAAATTCCGCCACGCTACGCGGGTACGGAATTTTGTACGGCGCCCTAATGATCGTATCATAACGTTTTCCCTTTTTGTCGCAACTTCTTTATTTTTCGCGTTTTAAATTGTTTTGTATTCGATTTATTCTTGTTTTTGCAGTGCATGTTTTCGTTTCTTGCAACTCGCTGGCTGTTTCTCTTTTACCCGCCTTTTTCTGAACTTTCTGGCTCCATACCAATATTTATCTCAAGTTTTATGAGTTTCTTTCCTTTTGCATTTTGTTTTCTTCCTTTCTAGCTACAACTTGTGTTTTTGCAGGCTGATGAGCAGACGCGAGGAGGAATGTCTGATCGAGGAAGAGCCGGAGTGTTCACGGAAAAACGATGGGCGCCAAATCTTCCGAATACTCTCGCGTGAGGGTCACGAGTTCGCGATGGAGAAGGGCGCCTGCATGCACTCGGTGAAGCTGGCCGACATGATACGCACGCGCAAGATGAGGGAGGTACCCATGTTGGAGGTGTGCTTTTGTAATCATAAAACGCCAGTAAATTTTTTGACCTACTTTTGGAACAGATTTGGGTTCAATGGTTCTTTCTGTATCTAAATTAGCTTTTTTGCGGTTTGTAGCTACCTTTTCGATGTCGTTTATTAGTTCTTAGTTCTCTTTCGTATAGCTTTGGCTTTATCCTTCTTATAACTTGGTATTTGTTGGTATTTGTAGCTTTATTTTCATTCTTATGGCTTCTTACTCTTACTTCGCTTTTTCCAGGTCTCTTCCCCAATGCTGAAGCTCATCGCCGACTGGTGCACCTTCCACAAGTACATGCCGCACCAATGGAAGGAGCCGCACGGCTGGTACCACTTGCGCCATCCGGACATGATCACGTTCGTTTTGTCGCGTGGTTCTATTTATTAAATTTCTTTAGGTGGGCAAAGAAATACACGACCGCCCTCACGCCGCAACAACTGCTCGAGCTGGCCACGGTGGCGAACAATTTGCAGATTGGATCGTTGGTGGCAAGGTATAAATTTGGCAGCACTTTCTTGTAGAAAAGTATTTCACAATGGCCGGAAACTCGAGATAGGAAAAGCGTAACTTGGTTCTTGCGCATTATCGTGGGGGATCAACTTTTCTCTTAGAGGTCAATCTTATCAATAATAGATAGCGGAAACCTTTCTAAACCGGTTTAACTATTCTCAAACGTAAAAGCTTTACAAATTTTTCCGAAAAAAGGCCAAAGAATATCGGTGTCAGTGAAGAAATCTGCACAAGATAGTGATGTCCTTTTAGCTAATTTTTGCCGTTTCGCTTCTATCTTTTTCTTTTTAGTGTATGTGACGAGATCGGCGGACGCCTTCGTGGGCAAACGGTGGAACAGATGCGCGAGATGTGGAACATCCCCGCCGACCCGGTCGAGATCGACGAGAAGGCGGCCAGCGAGCGCAAGACCAAGGCCCTCGAAGCCCTTCGGCAGCAGCTGCTGCGCAGCCTGCGCGCACGGAAAAATAACAAACGAGTGCCGCCCATGTGTTGACGGCGTGTTGTTTCGCTCACGTCCCTCTATTCGACTCTCTCCGTGTGTACATTTCGTTGTTTTCGTTATTATTATAATGGATGAGTGTTGCCGTGTATCTTTATCGGTCGCGTGTCTATCAAAGAATTTCTTTGTGTGTAATTCGTCTGGGTTGTTGAAGGTTTCAAGATAAAGTATTTAGGATTACGGTTTTGTGGCAGTTTTTCAATCGATGTTTGCGTGACTTTTTGCTTCCGATTTGGAAACACTTTGCGATGCCTTACAACTTCAATAGTTCACGGGCTTTGAGTAGACAAACCTCAAAACAAAAGCCGGCTTTTGTTTTTGCGATTTAGCCTTGAAAATTATAGTAGTTCCGGAATAGTTCGAAGATTGGAAATGCTGGTTTGATTTCACCTTTTGACGTATGTTTCGTCTAGAATAGCTAGGATATAACATGCTTTAAAGTTCCTGCTTTTGACTAACCGTAACGGTTCCGAGCGGCTGGAAGTCGTCGCAAAACGTGGCATTGCACACACATCCGAAGGCCGTACCCCGGGACGTGGGCGGGTAGTCTCGCCGATTGCACTCGTTTCTGGCTAAATTGACAATTTTAGGCAACTTTCCGCCTTTCCCTAGGTTAAAAAAGGCGGGTTTCCGACCGGTTTTATTGCAGATTTATCTGTGAAAGTCTCACCTAAACAGATCGTTGCGAGGCAAGCCACCAGGAGTAGCCGCAGCATCATGGCCTAGTTAGGTTTACCTTAAACAGCTGATTGGAAATTATGTAGCTTTACGAAACTTTATAGAAATAGCGAAGTAGGGTCTTTCGTATTTTCGGAGGGAGTGTTTCCCATAGATCCTTAAATGCTTAGTAAGGAAGTAGTAGTAACTGTTTTAATAGTTCTTCGTTGAAATTTTAGCCGAAAATCGGCCGTTTTGGTCGAAAAAGATTATTTTTGTATTTCTTCATCAAAATTTGTGGAGTTTTTGCGCTTAGGAATAGCGAAAAACAGTTCAGAGACACCTTCGACTTTTATATTAGAAAACTCCGCAAGAAAATTGATCAACCCGATAATGCGAGAAAGCCCGGATGGGAGATAAACAGGGTAAAAATAGAAACGAAAATCTAGCAAAGTGATGCGAGCCCTTTCTCAGTCCAAAAAGAGTGCGTAGAGATCGTGTCAATTTTCTTGCCAATATATTTGCCCAGTTTTAGAATGTAATATATTGCCGGACGGCGCCTAGATTTCCAATAACAACCCGTTCCAAGAGATCCTGCCCTTTCCTGCTATACAGAGTTTACCAGGAATCCGAAGATAGAAAGGGACTAAGAAAACGGTTCTAGGAATGCCGGAGCACGTTTGCGGTCTCTGGCCGTTTTGGGGGGTTTATTGACAGCTCTTGTGATAAGCAGGGAACGCGGCAACTTTGATACTTTGGCAGGGCGGACCCGGGACTGTTGAGCATCAATCAGTTTTTTTTCTGGCCCGAAAAGACGAACTTTCAGACTGTCCGTGTGCCGTTTTGGGGTCGGTTCGTCTGGGGGATTTTGGAGGAGGCTTTATCACTAATTTTTTACAGGAATCTGGTTTCCAGATCAGCTAGGAGATCTGTGGCGGAATTATAGGGAAGGTAGATTGGTACTGGACTGTTAGCAGGGGGGGATTTTTAGTCGGAGAAAAACTCATTTTTGATATGCCCTTCTATTGATATGATAATGTTTTTAGTAGGGTTTGATTGCCAGAAAGTTACAAAAAATATTTTTAAAAGGCTAAAATGTTGAGCTTTTTGGTTATTTATGCATTTTTTACAAAAAGTAAATCGGAATTTTTGTGTTTTTTTTTTACCATAACCCCCCCTGCTAACAGTCCAGTACCGGTAGATTAGTTTTGCATTAAATTTGCTTTAGAAAAGACGGTTGGCATGCAGCGATTGTTTTTTTCTTTGCTCGTGAAACTGTCTCGCTCGATGAGCCAGCGGTTTTGTTTACGCTCTTTTTTGCGAGGCATTGATCTCTTTCGCCGATCGGACTTTTCTGGGAACGTCCATTTTGATCTGATTTATTTCTAGTACTATCAGGCCCGGTCTACGACTACGAAATGCTATAAATAACAGTAGCAATAGAAGCTGGTGGTAGTTGGATATTGGCAAATCGAGTCGTTTTCGCTTGATCTTGGATCGTACAACTTTCCGTCGTGTTTCCGCTCAGGTTATGGAGGACGACGACTCGTTGCGCACCATCTGGAGCTATGAAAGCTACGCCTAAATATAATAATTCCTTTAATTATCTACCTCTAACCTTCCACTTCTTCATTTGACGATTCGAAATCGACTCTTGTGTAGTTGTCGAGCACGAATTTACTAGAACAAATTGATTTAGTAATATTTAAAGCATTTCTCTAGCCTGGCATACCTAAAATGTCCCATAACATAAAACATGGGCTGTTTAATAAATTCGTCCGACGTGTAGTTTGCGATTATTGGGGAATCCACAAAGTTGTTGACCCAATTCGGGCCTCCCTGGACGTCAAGCACGATGTTCCAGTCGACCCAGCCCTGGACGCCGTGCGAGATATCCTAAGATCATCCAGTGGGATCTTTAGTAACGGGTATTTAATATTTTTAGCCTTTTCATTCACTTTTTCCCAGCTTGCCTCGATGATATCATGCGCATATTCATCGGCCCGTTCCCAATCGCCCATCAGGGGTCCCATCGAGTTTTTCCAGCCTCCGCAGGCCTAAAAAAGGCTATATTTTTTTTCTAAGAATTTATTTACTGTGCCGATAATTTTACCTACTTTCCTAGGTATCAAAATTCGTTTTATACGAATTACATGTATCCTTCAGGGCAGTAATTTTGTTTAATTACCTCCATACTTTAAATTCTTTGTATACGAATTCTATAACGTTTCTAAGGTCAGATATATACTATTAATTGCAGCTAATTATCTCGGTTTTGGAATTCGTTGTATATGAATTAAATCTATAGTTTTTAACGTAGAGTCTGGCTATTTATTTACAAGGTTACTTAATGAAAGGTATTGTTTTTCTGCTGGAAGAGTGTATAATTGAAGCTATAGCCCTACCAACTCTATTGCCTTACCTCCGTATACAAATTCATATACCCCGGGTGCTTCTGATTGGTCTCGTCAATAACCGTCGGCGGGATATTCTCATCTTCATACCAATGCCAGGCAAATCCGTCGATATATTGGGCCGTTTCGGTATCACCCAAGCACTAAATCCTCATTATTCTAAGGTACGCTATTTCTTACCGTATCCGCAAAGTCCGGAAAAGCATAGCGATTCTCGTCCCCGATAAACAGCTTCATATCCTTGGTCAGATCCGACGAGCACAGCATTGGACCGAGAGCGTATTTAACAAAATCACTATTGAAGAGTACGGTTTTTTAATGTTCTATACCATTCCGCCTCGCTCGTAAAGTTGACAACTTGGAAGGAGTAATTTGCGGATCTGCCCTCTCTGGGCTCATTCCTTGGGGTCATCATCCAGTAGCGGATACCCTCTTTGTCGTATTCTTCGAAGTATCTACAAATATAATATTTGAAAGCTATTAAAAGTTAGATTTATGAAAGTGATTTAACTCACCGTTTATAGTATGTTGCGTACGCCTTGTAGTACACCCCATCCGGGGCGCCTTTTAGTGGGGAACCGCCCTGAAAAATATGGAGGAAATTCGTTTTTCATAGTTTTTTCGTTCCAAGAAAAGGCAGTCTTGCGATTTTTTTCTCCTTTCTTTTAACGACTTTCCAAAAATTCCCAAAAATTGCTCCTAGCTTACCTAGCTTGAGGTCTTAATGAACTGTTTTGATTAAGCTTAACTTTTTACTCCAATTTGGACGTAATTTGGCAAAAAATTCCACAAAAATCTTGGCTAGATTGCCTGGCTTGCGTCTTTTTAGTGCCACTTCTCTAAACAAAATGTTTTACTGCAAACGCTGCGTGTTTTCTGAAGATGCTCAAACGTCGCTGTTAGCTTGCATCGCTAAAGGCTTTCTAAGACCACTTCTTTTAATAAATTGTTTTTCACTAAAAGGAGCGTTATTTCTAAAAATCCCGAACCGTCTCTGCTAGCCTACCAGCTGCAAATTTGTGCCACCAACCTGCATCTCCCCGTTCTGCTTCATCCACCCGGGCGGTCCCCAAGCAGTACAGAACAGCTTCAGGTCGATGTCGTTGGCTTTGGAGAGAGTCAATGCTTGTTTTATATAGGGGAGCTGGATTGAATTTGGATTGAATTCAGGGGTCTTTTAAGGTATATTACTTTATATAAATAATCCTCAATCGTCAGGTTAAAATTGACCATCTCAAAGTCGTCCTGAACGTCGTTGTAAGAGTAAGGATGAGTGGAAAAATCCGATGAAGCCACGACAACCCGAGTAAGGCGATAGCCGATACCTAGAATAAGGAAATTGCTTGAGTAATTTTGTGATATTAGGACTGATTTAATGGTTAAAATGGAGCGCACGCCTTTAGAACTACTAAAAATAAAACTAGTAAAATTCTAATAGAACCCGAAAAAGCGGCTTCTATACCTTTATTGCCGTAATATTGATTCATCAACATATCCCCAGCATCCTCGCTCAATTTCTTAATGTTAATACCGACAGCATCGGTTATCGCTCCACCGAATCCAAGGATAGTCTGAAGTTGCTCTCTCCCTATCTCGGTCTACCAGCTTTCTTACCTGATACTGCTTCGTCGCATCAATTTTAATCGTAGTGGAGGAGTCTAAAAATCAGGTTATACTGGGTGTCCCAAAAAACCCCCCCCCCCCCTCTAGCGGTCCGTGGGAAGCTCAGATCAGGATAATTTTTATACCATTCGAAAGCCCGCGAAAAGGCGAGAAAACAAGCGGGCTTCATTTTCTAAGATTTATTCTTATTCGTCCGATATTCAACGTTTTTCTAAAAAACAGGCAGCTTTTCAATAGGAATTTCGCAATTAGCATGCAGATCTCGCGTAAATCTGCCGTTTTCATGATTTTTGGAGGTAAAATTCGCCAATAAAAATACATAATAAAGAAAATGAACCCTCCATGTTTTCTCGCCTTTTCGAGAGCTTTCGATAGATACCTAAACGGCGAGAATCGGACACGTCTGGGCGCCGCTAGAGGGGGGGGGGGTTTTTGGGACACCCTGTACAGCATAAGAAAATATGGATACTTCGACATTTAGAAAAATCTTGATCGATTTTGTCTAGTCGATATTCATCTCGGGAAGAGAGGTAGATGGTGAAGGAGTTGCTCTAAATTCAGGGGTTCTCGATTTAGGTCTTTCTCTCGCTCACTCTTTCTCCTCTCTCTCTTTCTCTCGCGCGCTCTCTCTCTGTCTCTCTATCGCTCTATCTCTCTTACCCCCTATCTCTAGCTCTCTCTCTCTCTCTCTCTCTCTCTCTCTCTCTCTCTCTCTCTCTCTTACATCTTGCTCTCCAATCTGCTCGACATCGTCACAGTACGTTGAATTACATACACACCCAAAGGCTGTGCCACGAGCGGTAGGTGGGTAATCTCGACGGTTACATGGGTTTCTGGCTAATCAAAAAGTTGAAGAAAATGCCATTTTTTAGCTCACCTAAACCAAATACGACGAGACCAATGACTCCAAGCAGGACCCGCATTTCCCAAGTTTTCTAAAAATAAAACAAGAGGGAAAATTTGTCAAAAACATGAAAACAAAACGGAATGGTAAGTTGGCATCGTTTTCCGATTGCCATGCCCACTATTTATTGATACCCGCTAGTTCCATTTCACTACCATTTAATCGGGATTATCCAGAAAACAGGCCCACTTACTTATGCCGTTAATAGGCGTATATGGTAGTACAACGATTTGTTTTGGCCATGCGGAAAAGTTCATAGACTCGCCTACACGTCCTGAAGTGGAACCTAGAACTGTATGTGACCAGAATAAATGTGGTTATGATACACGATCAATATTTTTTTTCATAAAGTGTATTTTCCATTGGAAGAGTGAATTAATAGAAAATTCGTTGGGTTTAGTTTTTCGGATCACTTATCGTAAGCAGTGCAGCAAGGCGTGAGGCATTTTCGCTATTAAATTTAGGTTTTTGTAAATGCTTCTCTGTTAGTAATAATTAGCATAGACCGGAAGTGGGCGGTCGCCTATATAAAGAGGCAGCAGGAGTTTTTTATTTATTTTTTTTCGTCTTCTGGATTGAGGACAATTATTGAAAGGCCAGAATAGCATTGGGGGGTCCCAGACGGGGCCAGGGTTGAAAAGTCGCGAAGCGGCTTTTCAACCCTGGTAAATAATAATTCAACCTCATTAACTTGAGGGCAGTTAAAAATCGAAAAAATGCTGGTTTTAAAGCGCACGTTCAGGGAGGGGCCGTGTACTCGTCCCAACGTGTACACCCTATGGACGTAGGGACCGCGCGCACTGTCTGCCCGTGGCGTGGCAGGCAACTCCCCTCCTTTGCGGGGTGGGGCGCCCCTCATCCCCTCGCCAGGTTGTAGCTGTGTCTGACTGGTACGCATCCGCGCCTCCCGAGCGGGGGGCCCGGGTTCGACCCCCGGCCGCGGCAAAAATCTTTGCTTTTTCCAAAAAAACCTCCCTGAACGTGCCCTTTAACTATGATGCTATGTGTTTTCTATCTGTTGACCCGACGATGTCAATTAGCAAACTATATAAATTACAGTAGCAATAGAAGCGGGTGGCAATTGGATTTTAGCAAATAGGGTATTTTTGCTTGATCTTGGATCGTAGAGCTTGTCGTCCCATTTCCGCTTTTGTGATGGAGGACGACAACCCGGTGAGCATCATCTGGAGCGACGAAAACCATTACCAAAAATATTAATCTATTTAATCTGCTGCTTCTAACCTTCCACATCATCATCGACATCTCGACTCTCGTGTAGCTGTCGAGCACGAAATTACTGGAATAAAGTTGATGGTAAGGCCAGGCCAGCTCTCAACCAATGTATCTCCGCTCCCCCCAGGACAGGTTGTATCTCCCAAGAGTAATTTTTCAAGCAAAACCTTTACGATGTGTTTTGTAGCGCTGGATGAGCTCAGCCGATTGCTAGTTTCAAAATGCTTGCAAGCAGCTTATTGGGGCGAGTTTTTAACAAAGACAGATTTTCAAACAGAAAGAAACAATTATAGTCCCGACTTTTAAGCCCTGTTAAAAATCAGAAAAATGTTTGCAAACAAGATTAGCTTCGCCACTGTGCACAGCATCAAAAGTACTTGAAAATCGTATATTACGTCAAGCTCCTAGATCAAAACGGCTTTCAAAACAATGCCCGAAAGGTAGAACCGCGAAAGGACTTTCCCGGCAGCCTGAGCTTTCGGGCTTAAAGGCACATTCCGCTCTCATTCTGAAACCCTGGTCGGCGGCGGGAATTTGTCACTCTGGCGGCCGGCCGCAGGTACCCTTCATATCCCCTCGCCCCTCTCTCCTTCCCTTCCCTCCCATGGCCGAGTGGTCTACGGCGCTGGTCCCAGGCCGAGGGGTCCGGGTTCGGTTATGCCCGACGTTTAGCACCTACCGTAACATTGCATGCTAAAGTGTTGATCATTTCAAGATCTCGAAATCATCAACGAGAGCGGAATGTCTCTTTAATCGTGAAGCTCCTTTTTTGGTATGTTTCATAGGAGCTTTTCGTCTAAAGTGGTCGCTCTCTCTCTCTGTCTCTCTCTCTCTCTGTCTCGCTCTGTGTGTCTCTCTCTCCCGCTTTCTCTCTCTCTGTCTCGCTCTGTGTGTGTCTCTCTCTCTCGCTCCCTCTCTCTCTCGGTCTCTCTCTCGCTCTCTCTTTGCCTCTCTCTCTCTCTCTCTCTCTCTCTCTCTCACTCTCTCTCTCTCTGTCCCTCGTTTGTACGTGTACGTTCGCCATGCGTAACTGAATCGATTAATTTTCATTTATCCTGTCGCCATCCATCGTGCAGCTAAGCGGCCGGTTTCTTGTTTCCGGGCTGAAATGTAGTTGAATGAGTTGGCAATTATTCCTCCATCTTGTGGCAAACGTCCCCATAGTAAGCGTACCTTTTTGCACATCGTGTGTAGCTCCTTGTCACATGGATAGGAAAACCAACGGTGCGGGCCAAAAGTCAACGTACCAACATCATTCCACGTCTGAAATAATACAGGGATTATATATTAGGATTCTCCAGGGTGCCCCAAAAAACCCGTGCTGTATTTTGCCGACCTACATGCAATCGTTCCCAAAATAGGACCAGAGATGTATCCGACCCTAACTGACTACAATCCTGACTTATGGCACCATAGCCACAATCAGCCCTGGGAATCTCTGGGGACGGTCTGAGGCCGGGCAAAGGTTTTGGTGATTTTGGAGGGCTGGGCTGGCCCGACTTTCTTGAAGAAATTATAAATCTATTTAAATGCAATTGTAGAGTGGTAATCATTATTATTTTTACATGCATGGGGATTACGCTATCTATATACACATTTTATATCAATATACCAGTGGAAAAAGACCGCTTCGCGGCCATCTTCCACTGGGCCCCGTCCAGGAATCATGTATTTGAATACCTTCTTCTTTTAGTCTGCGGCGCAAGAATCTGTGCAATGGCGCCATTCTTTGGCCTGCGGAACTAGAGCCAGCGTTGCGCTAGAATCTTTGAGTCTGCGGCGCTAGTTACTGGTTTTTCCTCGGGGATTTGGCCTGCGGCGCGAGAGCCTGGGTCAAGGACCTTCCCTTGGGCCTGCGGCGCTAGAGCGAGAGCCAGGCCTAAACCTCACACACCGAGAGCCTAGAAATATGTTTTGTTGCTAAACTACCAAAAAGCAAAAAGTTGTATTTGCCCAGGATCCGAACCCACGACCATTCGGGTGGTAGGCCAGTCGCAATTCCACCACACCACGGGCAGATGGGAACAGGCGGCCGGAAAGCCCTCTTCTGTTCCGGGGAGCGGCGAGGCACAGAAAAGGCCGACCCAATGCCCCGGGAGGGATGCCTTCTGGTCACTTTACAAAATTAAGTTTTTTAGTCTGAATCAGCGGAAAATTTGCAAAGATAATAAGATGCGCATGATCTCCACTATCGAATAAATAAGTGGTCCAAATTTCAGCCCGAAATTCCAAATGCGAATCGAATTATGCCCCGAACACCACGGCTAGTCGCCCATTTTGTTAAGGATTTTTACTATTTTGCTTGTAAAATTGTTAAATGGAGGAATTTCGAAAAACAAAAAAATGCGTGTCTGACAAATGTGTTTCTCCGCCTCCATGCCAAAAGTCAGCGCGAAATTCGGCCTGACGGCCGAGAAATCGTCATTACAGAAAACAAACATACTTTTCTCGCTTATAGGATAGGATCAATTTTTTTTTTTGATTTTTGCTTTTTTTTCTACCGGCAACATCCGAAATCCGGCAATGCCATTTGGCAGGGGATCAGTCATCTAAACGTAATCTCCGGAATTTGCAGTAAGCGGCCGCCCTCTTTTTTAGGAAACAATTTTTATGGGGCGGAAATGGCGATAGCCCATATAAGGGAACAGAAAGGTTTGTCTTTCATGTTTCGCCATTAGTATCTGGGAACAAATATGCAAAGACAAGATTATCATCGGGCCGATGCGGGGCTTGGAATGAAAAGCCGCGTAGCGGCTTTTCAACCCTGGTAAGGAGTATAAAAATAATGACCCACAACCGTTTTGGACAGTTTTTGTTATTGGAGATTCAGTGCGCAATGATAAGGGGATGGATGGCCTACCCCAAGACAATTGGCATCCTTCAAATGAGGACCTCCGTGCGCCGACCAGAAGACGTAGTCCCAATTCGAGCCGTCGATCCATGTGTAATTTCCATCGCCCTGGAGCATGGTTGTTCAGTTTGGATGCGACCCGCGTCCATCTGACCCGGGAGGGGAGCCAGTCCCGTTCGTGCACTTACGGAGCCCGAATAAACCCGGACTCAGAATGCACTTGGCTGAAAATTTGCACACAGATAGAGTTGACCACGCTGATCATCGCCTCGTTGTCCAAATTTGCTACTGATCTTTAAAACTTGAGCTATTGAAATTTTTGTGTCAATTTTCGTCCCCGAGAAGCCTTGTGCCAAGATGCCGCTCTTTTTTATTTTGAAGTTCCAATGGATTTTAAGTAGCCTATTTGTTACAGAATTTTTTTGATTCGAATGGTATATTTCATTAAAGTTAGCTTCGTCTAGACGATGACTCACAGCGGTTTGAAGTAGGCTATTTTTCACTATTTCCCATACAAAAATCGAGGTCCATACCCAAGCAGTGTCGTCAATTTTTCCAATTTTTCGAGTTTTCCAAAATTTTGAGTTAGAGGGCTCGTTCGAAAGAGAAAAATTTTGTGAATACGATGGCGATATTTATTTTTGCGAAATCGGCCGGGGGGATCAAAATAACCGCGCTCGAAGTTTGGCTATTTTAACTAAAGGATCTCTTTAAAGGTGGCATATCTCCAGTTTTAAAGATCAGCAGCAAATTCGGACAACAAGGTGATGATCAGCATAGTTGATTCTATCTGTGTACAAATTCTCAGCCAATTCTGAGTCCAGGTCTATTCGGGCTTCCCTAGTTAGTAACAAGTTTATTTTGTGAACATCAGTCGGTGACTCACGAAACTTTCGCCCGCTCCCAACCCCCTTTAAAGGGGCTCCGAAATCTAG